CACAGGGTGTGAACACTTGCAGGGCCGGTGCCTGCAGCCCTGCCCTGGGCAGCCTGTTCCAATGCCTGAGCACCCTCTGGGGCAGGAATTGTTCCTCAGCTCCATCTAAACCTGCCCTGGTGCAGCTTGAGGCCGGTTCCTCTTGTCCCATCCCTTGTTCCTTGGGAGCAGAGCCCAGCCCCTCCTGGCTCCATCCTCCTGTCAGGCAGTTGGAGGCAGCCATCAGGTCCCCCCTGAGCCTTCTCTTCTCCAGACTAAACCACCCCAGGTCCCTCAGCCTTCCAAACTGCTTCAAGACTCCATTCAGAGTTAGGTGAGCAAAAGGCCACTCTGCTTTGCCATCACCCATTCAGCTGGTCCAAATTTACTGTCTCACACTCCTGCATTCAGCTTACAGTGGTTTGAGAAACCATCTATTTTTTAAGAGTAGTGTGAATTGCTATGTAGGAAGCATAAAAAGAATAGTTTGCCACCTAAGCAGAAACACAGAGGGTCAACATCCTAAAAGACTCAGACAGTAAAGCAACTCAGTAGTAAAGAAATGCCAAGCAATGCAGTTTCTGAAGCTGTGTTTCTTTTCAGGACTAAGATCCCCAGCTGAAGGCTGCAGGCAGGAATGTGAAGGAATGGGATTAAAGGTACTAAATCCCTTCCAAATTTGAGGCATTCATGTTAATCTCTTGCAGGAACAGAAAAACGTGGTGCCATCTTTTACATACTAACCTAGAATTAAAAACCACCAACCTAGATTGTTTTTTCCTACTGTTTGTATCATCACTGATGAATGAATGCTTACTCTTTGGATTTTAAAGAGTTCTCTGGACTAATACACCACTGAAGTGCTCACCCAGAAGGCAAATACTGGCAGATACAACCACAGAACTTCCAACATCTACTATAATTTACAGGCAAAAAAAATTACAACCGCTCCAAAAATTAGTTATTCTAAACTACAGTTTGAGGCTCAGCTACCTAATTCCCACCAAAGCCCTATTTCAGTATTTCTGAAGATTTACAGCAGGATCCCTAAAAAAATACTCTCAAACAGTTCCAAGGTTTGCAGATGATGTGTTATTACAGAAAAGCAGAGGCCAACATGTGCTACATACTCTGCCCTCTGCTACAGTTTGAAAGATACTTCTCCCCACCCAAAGAGTGGCAACAGGCTGTATCACCAAAGTCTGGTCTGTCACACACTGATTCCATTTCTTGTATTATGTATCTTCTTTCCCTGACACTAATTATTGCAGATTTGTGCATATTATACAATGATTAGGATTGGACGGGGCCTTAAAGATCATGCATTTCCACTCTAATCAATTAGCATGGCAAAACTGACAAGATGAATGAAATGTGAGGTGCTAAAAGGCATTCACTATAACAATACATTCTGTAACAAGTAATCTACAAAATTCTATGCTATTGCAGTGGGAATCAGTTTTGTACAGCCTGTTCCTCAGGTAGTAATAATTAAAACCCAACAATTAATAAGCATCAGCAAAATAAAAGAACCCAAGACAAACCTGGTTCTGATAATGGGCTCTTCATCATCATATTCCCCAGATAGTATTCTTGGATGTTTATTTTCTACAATCAAAAGGAGTTAAAAGAGATTGCAGTTACCAATTTCCATCCTTTTTCAGGTGTACAGGAATTCAAGCCTTCAGGAGGAGTTAAGCATGAACATGCCAGTGGAAAAGGGGCATAATTTAAGATGACTCAATGTGCAGAAGCCTACCTGTCCTGTTTCCTTCTCCTCGTGGTACTGGCGGATGTGTTTACCATGGCAGACTTCATATGTCCAGTAAGATTCAATCTTAAAATAAACAGATTTCTGTTTAGATACATCCTCCCTCACTCCAGATTCTCCCAAAATTCTGGCTTTTGCAGCAATGAAACACAGCCCAAGCAGATGGCCTTGGGCACCCTCCAAAACAACAGCACAATGAATGGTCTCAGTGTTCTCTAAGCATTTTGATGTTCCAAATAAATACACTGGGCAGTTTCCTTGACTTTCACACAGATAAAAACCGAAGGAAAAGAGTTAAATAAGATGTAAAGACTCAGTTTTCCCCTAAACCATTGGGGCTAAGTTGCAGTGACTCCATGCAGCCTGGTTTTGACAACTGTCTTTGATACAGGCTGTTTACCAGCTGTGTTTGACACACTCTCCCTACTTTAAGGACTTGTGTGGGATGCCACATAGGTGTAAATATTCAGCCACTTTCATGGTCTCTGTACCATGTTGCTTTGGTATTAGGCTTGTTCTTTAATGTAAGGCATGAGTCTTGAAGCAGGATGACAGTTGATGGAAAACTAGAAGACTTTCAGAGTATTTAGAAGCATGTTTGGTTTGGTTTTCTAACACTTTTCATTAGGTTGTCACACATTATATGGCTTGATTCCAAGAACAAAGTATTTTAAATCCATGTTCGACATTGCTGATAGATCAACCCCATTTATTTGAATGCTGACATCTTCCATTATACAGATTTTTATCAACATATTAAGAGATTCATAAAGTTGTAGAGACCTTATTTTGGCCTGAATTAGTACCTGAAGTCTGAGACATATTTATCCAAACAGTTTAATACACTAAACCTTGAAATGGACTGGATTGTAAACTTTTGATTAGCATTTGAATTATCAACACAGAAGTAACATACCCTGTATGAACAGCTACTTTGCTTAAAAAGTGGTTCCAGTAATTCTCCTGGAGTAGGACCTTTATAGTCTTTTTCTTCTTCCTAGAATAGAGGGATATTTCATTACACTAAAATTAACACTAGTTTGGTTAATATTCATTTGAAATAGTAAAAAAACAAACCAAAAATCTCATTGCAGAATTGAAAGGTACAAGCCCTCATTAATTCCTGCCTTGAAGGAGCTGTGTTGTGATTAGGGGGAAAAAAAAGATCCTTTAATAACAAGGGGCAAATGGAAGTCACAAATAAAGTAGTCAAACCAGAAAAGTTTTGTGGCTGAGAAGTGGTGAAAGAGCAGGAGCTCTCCACTTGCTTGTGTCCACAGTGGCAGGGTGGGGTGTGCAGAAGCAAACAGCACCAACAAGCTTCTCATTTGTTAGTCAATGCTGATGCAGCATAACTGGGACGTTGCACAGCTTTTATGCAGTTAAAAAATTGGATCAAAAAAGCATGAATAATACCGTGAAAGTTTACTTCTGCATCATTTTTGCTCTAGAAACATGCATGCTATTGAAGAGATTTCCATTCCAAGTTCTTGAGTATTAAAGACTTGTCACCTAGCCTGCTGGGTGTGCTGTCAGTCACATAAAGGATGAGGGCTGTGTCAAAGTGGGAGGTCCCACCACAGGAGTGCAGCTCATCTGTGCAAGTTCTCAGGGTGTTTCTCACACCCTGAACCTCGGGAGGAATAAACGACCCATGATAAACCCCACCAAAGGCCTCCTCAAGCTACATTTTCTGTACAAACAAAGGCATTCATTTCTTTTTCAATTTAAACCTCAAACTGTGCATCCAGACGTCCAATTGAGGAAGCAATGACCAAGAATAAACCACCATTGGTAGAACCACTACTGGGATAGCACTTACAGATAGGATGATCACGACAGCAGTGTCAACAACCTCTATAGCCATTTACTGATCTAGAATTTGACAACGGCACTTAAAACCCAAGCATTTCCCAATCTTAGCAATACACAGAACATTACAGCAATCACGTGTTGCCAAATAAGGACTTCAAAGCGTTCAGACTGGCCCCACTTATTACAGAGCTAGTATGTAATACGAAGTGAAGGCATCTACCACAAACTGTGAAGCTCTGAGGGGTGCTGTAGATGATTCTCTCCTTATCTGGGGTAGGGGGAAAAGGGGGAACTGAAAAGATGCTGTCAAGACTTGTCTGCAGTTTATAACTGCAATAAAGGCTTGACTGAACTTACCTCATTGCCACTTGCTATCAGCGGAAGCAGGCATTTATACTTCTCTTTGTCCACAGTGGTCATTATAATGTAGTTATCCTCTTTGTACAGGACACCAGTTGTAGGCTGAGAAAACAACCGACCTGTGGATTAGTCCAGTGGTTCTTTTACTGCTCCTTGTTAGAAACAGCCTGGGACTGACGAGCAGTACGGTTAATTCATAGGGGCCCGGGGTATTCCCTGGGTCTCCATCATGCCACAAGACTGAAGGCTTTTCTTGCCTTCTCCTTCACTTCCACCCTCTGCCTCCTGCCACATCCCTGCTGTTATAAAGGACGTTTCCTAAAGCAACACCCCCAGAACCGCTGCACTTTTCCGGCAGCCTTTCCCATGTTGACTTTCAGGGCAGGTTTCCCTGGGATTTGCCCAGCTGACAGGCTCAGGCCATGGCCCGAGTATTAGAACTCACCCTCTGCCCTGGGACGTGTGTACCACAGCCAAAACGCGGGGAGATGCTTAAGGGACCCCCCCAGCAAAGGCTATGTGGGGCTCACCCCAACCTGAAACACTTCTGTAACGGAACGGCTTCAAACCCCAACTGCCAAGTGCGAGGGCTCCGCCGCTGGAGCCACCGCCCCCCGTTAACAGCTACAGCCGCCCGGCTCCTCCAGGGAGAAAGCCGCTGAGGGAGGAGTGACCGGACACCCCCCGGCCCCCGCCGCGGTACCGACCAGGCTGAACTCGGTGCCGGGCCAGTTCACCCTGAAGGGGATGTCGTCGCTGAGCGGAGGGAGAGCGCGGCCGCCCTCCGGCACCACGGCGGCCGCCAGGGCCGCCAGCAGCGCGCAGAGCAGCGCCGGGGCGGGCGGCCGGTGCCGGCGGTCCCTCATGCCGGCCGGCGGGCAGGGACAGAGGGAAGGCAGCGAGCGGAGCGCCGGGCAGCGCCGCCGCCACGTCTGCTTCCGTCAGGGCGGGCTCCCGCGCATCAACATCCGGGGCACCCGCGGCAGTGGCGGGAGACGGCGGGGAGGGAGCGGCTGAGGGGAGCGGGCGCGGGGTGAGGAGGCGGCGGCGGTTGCGTGTGGAAACCGCAGCCCTGCACCTCACGTCGGCGGTCGGAGGGGCTCCGGGGTCGTTAACGGCTCGGTTAAAGCCTCCCCGCTGTCCTGCGGGTGCTGTGTGCCGGTGCGCTGAGGAGAGGGCTCGCTGGTGGAAGGTAAGAGCTGCGGTCGCGCTCGTTCCGGTGTTAGTTAAAAATGCCGTAGTGTTGGTGTCCCGGAAGGTGCTGCCTTGTGCCGTTGTGGTGCCTCTGTAGTGAGTGTTGGAGCGAGGGCAGAGGAGGCCATGTGTTAGCGTAGGGAATAAACACATAACCACCGGAATGGTTATATGAGGTGCTTTATTGCAGCGCTGGGAAACCAGGGGCACGCACCCAAATCTGGTTCCAACCTCGTCACATCGCGTTCGCAATTTATGCACATTTAGCACGGGTTACAACATCAGCTAATGCATATGCATTAAGGATTGCCACATCATAAATGTTAAGACATCAGCCTCTTCTGCGCTTGCGCAGCCCCCTCTGGTGGTCGTTCCGGTGAAGTAAGGAGTCTTCCTCAGATGAAGTAAGAAGTCTTCCTCAGGTTGTCCTCTTCACCTTTCCCTTACTGGGACATATCCCAACCCATGTGTGGATGCTAGCATTTTCTTATCAGCTTCTGGTATGCTCTTTTGGCTTTCTTAAGTCTAGGTTCTACTTGGGTATAGTCTCCAGTACATACTTTTCTAAATCCACCCATAAATCCACCCGTACACCTTTCACCATATATGGTTATGCTGTTAAGACTACCATTGGAACACTGGTTACAGAGCAGCCATGATACAAAACTGCAAAGTTACAAAATTTTCTAATATACAAAATCCCACTATTGATTTATAAATTTCTCAAACATAATCATTTCTACTGTTTTATACAATTGTTTCATCATAAAAACTTTGCCCTTTTCCAACATTTCCCCCCTTTGAAAATACTTCACTTAATTTAAGTAAGTATTTTCACTCTCTTAGGTAGCAGTTTCCTGATAACTAGGAGGAGGTGTCAGATATTTTGGGTGGTCTCTGGTCACTGCCCCTATAATTCGATGAGTCCATGCACTGTTTCGGGCTGTTTCCTTTCGGATGCAAAGATACATTACATAGATCATCAGAAACACAATCAGTATCATGATTACAGTCTGCACGAGGGAACGGACCCATCCCATGAGGTGAAGGCCCAAATCATCAAAAAGCGCCCCGATCCAATTTTGTTCAATATATTCCTTTTCCTTTTCCACTTCCTGTTCAACTTTGGTCAACTGAGAAATACTGTATTCTATGTCTGCAGTCACATTGGGAATATGAATATAGCAATGGTCTATTCCACATCAGAGTGCTCCGCAGTCAAGTTAAGGTTCTACCGAGAGACAGCACATAATTATAAACATCCTGATTCCCTTTAATATGGGTATTAGGGTTGGGTTCTGGTGCCTCGTATGGCTTTCCATAGAGGATCTCATAGGGGCTTACTGACATTTTATTGTATTTGGGCCTCCTGACATATTTTACTGATTTGTCTCTTTATTGTTTGGTTCATCTTTTCTACCTGTCCACTAGATTGGGGCCTCCAAGGAGTGTGTAAGTTCCATGATATTCCTAATAGTTTACTAACTTCTTGTACTGTGGTTGCAATAAAATGTGGACCCCTATCTGATGATATCCCTAAAGGGACTCCAAAATGTGGGATGATTTCTCTAAGCAACCATTTCACTGCTTCTTTTGCCTGATTGGTGCGACAGGGAAAGGCCTCCGGCCATTCGGAAAAAGTGTCAGCCCCTGCTAACAGATATTTGTACCCTTGTACTTGTGGTATTTCCGCAAAATCAACCTGCCAATAATCTCCTGGTTCCATTCCTGTCCTAATTCTATTTCAACTTGTTTTTTTACTACTGGATTGTTTTTCAAACAAATTTCACATTTTGATCCCACTGATTTTGCCATAGTTAACATCTGTGTGGAAATTATTCCTTGTTTTAAATAAGTTACCAATGCCTCTGCACCCCAGTGACATTTCTGATGTTCAGTTTGTAGAATTTTTCACATTATTGCTGGTGGTACTATTACTTGTCCTGTTGTTGTCACATACCACCCTTCAGAGTTCTTTTGGGCTTTTAAGAGTCCTGCTAATTTTTCATCTTCTTTTGAATAGTTTGGACTTTGTGGAAGATAGGTGTGGAGTGGGCTTACCTTCAGAGGTATCAAAGCCATCATGTTCCATACCCTCCGGGCTACTCATCGGGCCGTCCGATCTGCCAATGTATTTCCTTCAGATATCTTTGAAGTTCCTCCTTGATGTGCTTTGCAATGCATATTGGCTACCTGTTTAGGTCTTTACACAGGAATTACTAATTCTAAAATTTCCTTTTAATACTTTATGTTAGTCCCTTTTGAGGATAAAAGTCCCCGTTCTTTCCATAATGCTCCATGAATGTGTACCACACCAAATGCATACTTTGAGTCTGTCCATACATTTACCTTTTTGGCGTTGCTCAGTTCCAATGCTCTTGTGAGAGCTATCAATTCTGCCCGTTGGGCTGATGTTCCAGGAGGTAGTGCTTTGGCTTCGATTACCTCTTGCTGCGTTGTCACAGCATATCCTGCGTATCGTGTTCCATTCTTCACAAAGCTGCTTCCATCTGTGAAGAGTTCCCAGTCTGGTTGTTCAAGAGGTGCATCCTTCAAGTCTGCTCTGGTTGCATATGTATGTTTGATGACTTCTATGCAGTCATGTTCAAGAGTTCCTTCTTCTAGGTCAGTTCCTAGAAAAGCTGCTGGGTTTAACAGATTAGTAGTTCTCAAGCTTATATCATCTTGTTCCATTAGGGTGGCCTGATATTTCATCATCCGACTAGGGGATAACCAGTGCCCCCCTTTTTGTTCTAGAACAGTGGTTACCATATGTGGTACAAACACATCGATGTGTTTTAATTTCCTAGCTTCCTGAATCAAAATGACAGTCACTGCTACTGCCCTCAAGCATGAGGGCCATCCTGCACTCACCGGATCCAGTTGTTTTGAGAAATATCCCACCAGTCTTTTCCAGCTTCTGAGTTAACACTCCCAATGCCAACCTCTGTCTTTCGTGGACAAACAATTGAAAATCTTTTGTCAAATCTGGGAGCCCCCGTGCCGGTGATTTTGTTAACGCCTCCTTCAGGTTTTTAAAGGCCTCTTTCTGTGGTTTGTCCCAAACAAAGGCATGTGATTTCTGGGCTTCATACAGGGGTTTGGCAATAAGTCCATAGTCCATTATCCATAATCTGCACCACCCTGTCATGCCCAGAAATATTCTCAGTTCATGCAAGTTTTGTGGTTCTGGGATGGCACAGATTGCCTCTATGTGATTTATTCCCAGCTTTCGCTGTCCTTGTGAAATTTCACATCCCAGATACAACACAGTCATGCATGCAATTTCTACCTTTTCTTTTGAGACTTTATAACCATTCAAGCCTAGTTGATTCAGAATTTCAATTTATGCACAGGGATCTTTGTTCTGTTGCAATAAAAATGTCATCTATATATTGTAGCAAAAGTTATTGTGATTTTGGTACCTGTATTTTTCCTTGGGTGGTCCATGCTTCCAATTCTTTGGCTAGTTGGTTTCCAAATAGGGTCGGACTGTTCTTGAATCCTTGTGGAAGTCTGGTCCATGCCAATTGTGTTTTTCGTCCATTCTGTGGATTTTCCCATTCAAATGCAAACAGTTTCCTGCTACTTTTGTCAAGGGGAATGCAGAAGAAGGCATCTTTTAGATCAATCACTGTAAACCATTTATATTTTTCCTTCACAGATGTTAGCAATGTATAAGGGTTTGCCACCACTGGGTTGGATGTCTTGTTATTTCATTTATTGCCCTCAAGTCTTGCACCAATCTATACTCACCATTTGGTTTCTTTATTGGGAAAATTGGCGTGTTATATTCTGATTCACAATCTTCTAGAATTTGGTATTTTAACAATTTCTCAGTTGTCTTTATAATCCCATATCTTGCTTCTAGTTTTAATGGATATTGTTTAGCTCTTACCGGCCTAGCTCCATCCTTTAATTCCACTATTATTGGCTGGGCAGTTTTTGATTTTCCTGGAGTTTGTGTTTCCCAAACTGTTGGTATTACAGCTTGTTCTACCTCCTCCATTCGAGCAATGGATTTATCTTTCCAAACCAAAATTTGTCCTGCCTTGGATTCCAGAACCTGCATGGTTAATTCACCATTTTCAAAAACAATTGTTGCATCCAATTTAGCTAATAAGTCTCGTCTTAAAAGAGGAACAGGACATTCATTTTTCCAGTGTCCTTCCTGCTTGCAGTTTGCACACTGATTATATCCTATTCTTTCCACATTTATCCCTGCGTTCGGATTACAGAATCCTCTTCCTCTTCCTCGTCCCCGCACGTTTCCTCTCCCTCTTCCCCTAGGGTTAGAGAAGCCTTGTTCTCTCCCCTGGACCCCTGCCAATAGATTTTGCTGCTGCCTCCGGGAGCTCTCTCTTTCTCTATTGTTATACACCTTCCAAGCCACTTCCAGCAATCTGTCCAAGTTTCGCAAGTCTGCTCCCTCTAACTTCTGCAGTTTTTTCCTAATGTCATCCTGAGAGTGCCCTAAAAAGATCAAAGCCAACTGTGCCTTAGCCTGTTCGGTTTCCACATCCAGATCTGTGTATTTCTTTGCTGTCTCTTTAAGTCTTTCCAGGAAAACAGACGGAGATTCCGTCTTTTCCTGCCTCACGTTATATAACTTTGACCAATTTATTGTTTTAGGCATGGCATTCTGCACTCCAACAACCACCCAGTCTTGATACCTTCGCAAATTCCTCATTCCCCTTGCCGTGTTATAATCCCACATCGGATCTTCCGTAGGGAAGTTCTGATCTACATTTCCCTCAACCAGTCCCTGTCGTATATCCTCCCGGACCCTTTCTCTTGCAGCCCGTAACACCATTTCCTTTTCTGTTGAATCCATGAGGGTGTCTAAAAGCACCTGGATATCATCCCAGTCTGGATTTTGAGTTTTCATGATCATTTTTATTACACGGGCTACCTTATCAGGATTCTCCCTGTATGTCCCTGCTGATTGCTTCCAAATAAGCAAATCCCCAGGAGAAAAAGGCACTTTAACGTATACTG